GGGGGGGGGGAGAGGGAAGAAATCTCACAGGGCAGCCTGTCTGACCCCAAAGTCATCCACCTTTGCCTTGCTCGGAAATACAGAGATGCATATTTGAGTAACTACAACAGACTAAACCAAATAATTTAAACCAGTTAAAGAGTCAGAATATTTTCCTCACACTAAGTGAATAATTTATGGCCAGAGCTACAAAAAAAAAAAAAAAAGACCCTCTCCAGTCCTCTACCACAGGAAAATGTACCCAGAATAAAAGATCACATTTCAGGCTCATAAATAAATGAAAAACTAAACCTACAGTAAACAGAGAGGAAAGCATTTTTCCCTGGGCTTTCCAACATTGCTGCAGAAAAAGCCGTGCAGCGGACCCGCACTGCTCTAGGCACCTACATGAAGAGCATACCATGGCCGCTTAAATCAAGGGAAGGTTCTCTGTGTCATAAAGTCATAAAATGACCTTCCCCCAACCCCACATTTCCTGCCATCCACCAGCCCGGTTCGAACTCTGGAACTTTAGAACCAGGCCACACATTTCAGCCATGTGAGTTAAAAGAGGAACTCCTTCAGCTGGCAGGCTATCATCCTCTATGCAGACTAGCCACTGGAGGGGGACATAAATACTTTATTGAGTGCTACACTAAGCAGCACAAGTTGAGTTAGACAGTATGGGAGCTAGAGAGCCAGGGATGTTTCCCATGTCCAGCAACCTAAGTAAAGAACCCCCTTTACATTCATTACAGCCCAGCCTGTCTCTTCTCCTCTGTAGGGGAATTACAGAGAGATGGGCATGGTGTGGCAGGAGTGCTGTACTGTGCATGGCTGATGTATGGCTGGGCGGGAAACAGAGACACCAGAAAGGTGTGGGAGGGAGGGCTAGAGGAGAAAGTTCGGAGCACTGAGGTCTTAATGGCCGCCATGAAAGCCTGGCCCAGGATCTCTCCGCTGAGGAGTCACCTTCTCCAGAAAGGCTGAAGGCCTCCATGACGAGGCAAGTGAGTTAATGAAGCGCAAGGACACCATGTGTTCTCTGCTTAGTGCCAGAACGCCAGCTGCAAATGAGGCCATGCTGCCCATCGCATCCTGCAGAGCCTGAAGGGGAAGCCAGACAGCAAACCACATCCCTGACAGCCATTCGGACAGTTCCAGAGTCGCAGCAGGTCTGGCCCGCCGGGACCGGTGCAGAGAAAGGCCGGAGGCGAACGGGGGCAGCCGCCAGTGGAGTTCTCACCAGGAAAAACCAGAAAGGCAGCACAACGGTTTTTATTACTGCAGTAACAGAACCTGTCCTTGATACGCTGAGGGATGTATCCGTCCCTCAGCGTACCAAGGACAGGTTCTGTTACTGCAGTAATAAAAACCGTTGTGCTGCCTTTCTGGTTTTTCCTGGTGAGAACTCCACTGGCGGCTGCCCCCGTTCGCCCCCCGCCTTTCTCTGCACCGGTCCCGGCGGGCCAGACCTGCTGCGACTCTGGGACTGTCCGAGTGGCTGTCAGGGATGTGGTTTGCTGTCTGGCTTCCCCTTCAGGCTCTGCAGGATGCGATGGGCAGCCTGGCCTCATTTGCAGCTGGCGTTCTGGCACTAAGCAGAGAACACATGGTGTCCTTGCGCTTCATTAACTCACTTGCCTCGTCATGGAGGCCTTCAGCCTTTCTGGAGAAGGTGACTCCTCAGCGGAGAGATCCTGGGCCAGGCTTTCATGGCGGCCATTAAGACCTCAGTGCTCCGACCTTTTTCCTCTAACCCCCCCTTCCCCACCTTTCTGGGGTCTCTGCTTCGCGCGCAGGCTTT